GTATCGCTATAGTAAGCATGGATAATAACAAAGATTAAGACTGTGATGCATCATATATGCATGGTATCCCCGCTCGTTTATTAACTGAAAGCGCAGATTGCTCCTTCACTGCTCAATAACTCTCTACGTTCTGCGCGCTCACTTTTATTCAGGAAACTTCATGTAAGTTATTTGTAAATACTTAAGGAGGCACTGCGGAGGAGAGAGACGTTCTGCCGTATAATTTCAGATGATTTGAATTTGGAAACTATTGCTCCCTTCAGAAATTTTCAAAACATTCCCTACCCCTCGAAATTATCGGGAATTGCTTGACCCCCTCGGAAATTTTTGGAAATTTCTTGACCCCATCGGAAATTTTCGGGAATTTCTTGACCCCTCTCAGAAATTTTCGGGAATTTTTTGACCTCCTCAGAAATTATCGGGAATTTCTTGACCCCCTCAAAAATTTTCAGGGATTTTCTTAACCCCCTCGGAAATTCTCGTCAACAGGTAGTGCCCCTTCAGAAATGTTCAGAATTTTCCCCGGCCCTTCAGAAATTTAAAAAAAAAATTTGATCCCTTCAGAAATTTTTGTTTTACAACACCCCTCGGAAATTTTCAACTTGGAACCCCCTCAGAAATTCAGAATTTCAGACCCCTTCGGAAAATCTCGTCCACAGGGGGGTGTAGATATTAAATGGAATGGCCCTCTCGCAAGGGTCAGTATAGACTTATAGTATAAATGTATATTATATTAATGTATATTATAGTAAAAATATGTCGTAAAATATAAATTTTAAAATGAAATTGACTTGCCTATTTGATAGTGTGTGTTCTCCTTTTATTCCCCCTTTGTTGGACTAATATTTTCCGAGACTTTGTACTCGATGTTACTAGTATACATGAAACATGATAAAGGCTAACGATTCCCAATCGTCGATACGACGGCACGGCACTTCGAATCGAAAATTCTCACACCCAAATCGCTTTATTCGCCAGCATGTACAACAAATGCCGTTCTTCGAAAATACAGAGGTATTTCGGCGAGATATACAAGTTTTGGACCATATTTTAACAATGGAAATTACTACGGCGAACGTCTGCGCAACCAGGCCTCCTTCACCGTTGGATTTCCAGGGGTGGGGGGGGGGAGCAGATATTTCCGGTAACAGCCAGCCAATCGCGGCCGCATAGCGACTGTTTACATTATTTGAAATTTGATATTCAAAATAAAAACTCCTTCGATCGGATACTGTATAAAACTCGAGATGTTGTCGAAGAAAATAAAATTAAACGACGGAGATTGAAGAAATTTAAGGAAGAAGTAATATACAGCGGCTCTTTGTTGGAAAGTACGGTAGAATATGATACTTTAATTCGAAATATTATCGTGAATATATTAGTGGCATCCTCCCCCCGGTAAATCCAACGGTAAAGGAGGCCTGGTTGCGCAGACGTTCGCCGTAGTAATTTTCGGTCCGGGTAAGTTCAATATAAAATGGGTTTTGATTTCCATTGTTAAAATATGGTCCAAAACTTTTACATCTCGCCGAAATAACTCTGTATTTTCGAAGAACGGCATTTGTTGTACATGCTGGCGAATTTTTTTTGAGAATAAAGCGATTTGAGTGTGAGAATTTTCGATTCGAAGTGCCGTGCCGTCGTATCGACGATCGGGAATCGTTAGCCTTTATCATGTTTCATGTATACTAGTAACATCGAGTACAAAGTCTCGGAAAATATTAGTCCAACAAAGGAGGAATAAAAGGAGAACACACACTATCAAATAGGCAAGTCAATTTCATTTTAAAATTTATATTTTACGACATATTTTTACTATAATATACATTAATATAATATAATATACATTTATACTATAAGTCTATACTGACCCTTGCGAGATTGGGCCGTTATACTGCCCAACGCTATTCGCAATCAAACAAGAGAAGTCTACACTATCAGATAAAAACATATCGAGCGACTGGGAAAGCAAGGAATGGCGCAATTTACAATACAGGTAATTGATCATAAAATATTGCATTAGTATTTGTCTTGTTACACTCGAATTTCTGCGTTTATTCAACACGGAGTATTATATATACTATGAGAAATAGTGTTACAAACAAGTTACATACTTGGTAAAACTTTGCTGCCTTTTGTTTCGGCTCAAAATATACTACGCGTGGCAATGCTCGGTATTGTTTATAGTCATGAAATTGTATTTACCCAGCCAATGACGTCAAATAATGTATTTTGTGGCATAAATTAGCACACGCGCTTATTTTCAAAATGGTGGACAACTGTCCAACTTTTTATCAAATTTTCTCAACAACTAAACGCGACAAACCGGCCAAAATATGAAATTAAATATTCCGCAAGTATACCTAATAGATATAAGTAATAAAAAATTTGGGTGCCAATGTCCTTTAAGGAATTTGATATATATCCAAGAATTGAGATAAGGATTGACAATAATAATTCTCAATATTCATCTCGCGAGTCATGGTCAGCAGTGGCTACGCTACTAGCAGGCTATTAGTGATAGCCTACTAGTAGCAACAAGCGGCGAAGGGCGCGAGAGTCAATGACCGTTTTTAAGTATTAAAAGCTGCATTTAAAGGGAAAAAGCTTATCAAAATGGCCTAATTTTGGTTCTGGATTACACACAAACAAAGACTCTTGGAAACTGCTGACACATGCGGTAAAGTTTTTAAGTTTTCTCAACCTTGCTCGTAGTTTTGAACTTGAAAATGACAGACGATTTTTTAAAATATATGCACAACGTTTGTTAATGGCAATTGCTAGATAGTATACTTCAAAATAAGGTTTCCGTTTTTATATCAATTTTTTAAATAAGTAGGTTAGGGTTAGGGTTAGGTTAGGGTTAGGTTAGGGTTGTGGTTAGGGTTCGGGTTAGTATTAGGGTTTAGTTTTGCGTTAGGATGGTTTTTTCTACGTTATAAAAACGGAAACCTTATTTTGAAGTATACTTTCTAGCAATCACCGTTTGTTAATATTCCAAGTAGCCTGCATGGCAGGCGGTACTTAGGAAATGCCTCCCTAATTTTCGCTGCCTGTAGAAATACCGCCTGCCGCGCAGGCTATATTCCAAGCAGAATCGTTGAAATTCAACAATACTTTGTAGCTATTTACCCAACCTCGTACCCAGGGCTTCTGCGCCCCAATAAGCGCAGAAGCCCTGGGTACGAGGTTGCTATTTACCCCTATTTTCTCAACCTCTTTAGCGGTGTGCTTGTTTTAAGTACGATTTCATGTATTTAGCTGGCATTTTAACGAGTTTTTTCCTTTAAATGTTGAGATTTCGGCCGAGTTTGTTTTTCGCCTTTTGGAGCCTTTTTAAGTCGAGTTTTTCGATTAAATTTTAATCTAAACTATTGTCTATGTATACTAGATTATGGAAATTGTTTGCCTCTTTATGTTCCAGATATTTTAAAGATTTCAACGACATTCGGAAAATCGGATTCTTTTGCATGTGTGTGCATTTTTATTCGGCTTCTTAACGTAAACTTTATTTACTAATTTAGTAACAATTCGGGAAGCCATGCATTTTGTGCGGTTCGAAATTTTGGACTTTTTAAGCCTTGTTTCCTTCTTTTAAATAAGTTTTAATTGACCAAACTTTGCTTCTGTAACGGTCTCTTACTATTATACTGTTTTACGACATGTTTTTTAACTTTTTTAAAACTCACAAGTTGTATTTTTCAAGTCATTCTTGGGAGTTCGCAACACTGACTAGTTGTCAACAAAGCCGAGGCGAAATGTCGCCAAAGGAAGTCATTTAAACGCTCATTTCGTTAAAACATTATTTTACATAAAAATCAAGTGAAAAATTCCGCTTTCTTTATGTGGTTTATACTAAAACAATTAGACAACTCAGCCTCGTTGTCTTTGAACGAATATAGTCAACTCGGCTTCGCCTCGTTGACTATTCGCTCATAGACCACGGGCAATAGGACAGGTGTAGTGTTGTTAAATAGAAAGTTAGAAATGGTATTATACTTACTCATGCATTATAATTATGTTTAAAAGATCAGAATATTCATAACTTCTTATTTTGTTTCATAAATAGTTCTTTAATATTCGAAAAAAATTCCATATCTGCTTCGTCTGCCATCGCCATGTTTACTCGTCCCAATCTACATGCTGCACGGCATTGCCGCCCCTCCTGGCAAAATAATAAGCAAGCGAGAAAAATTAAGGAGAAATAAGAGGGTAGGAACATCGTTGTCATAAGCTGGATGCAGTGACACTTCCATATATGGCATAAACGTATCCATAACTTCCATATATGGCACAAACGTATCCTCGACCACTGATCCTCGACGCGTTTTATAACGTTTTATTTGACGTAGAGATGACGTAATCACAGAATAGGAAGTTATACCAGAAGCGTAACTCTAGTCGTTTCCCTTATTGTTTGACGTCCACGAAAATTTTAACTCGCTCACGTCAGACCACGCCATCCTGGCTAGTACAGCCGGAAGTTTTTATCAGGATTTGGTAGGTACAAAGTGCCGGTTGTACTAGCCAGGATGGCGTGATTAATGACGAATCGCTTGTAAAAACGCGGACAAATATTTGCTCGAGTTACGCTTCTGGTATAACTTCCTATTCT